ACCTTTTGTAATAATGTTTTAAAAATAGTAAAATGTATTATTCCACATGATTATCCCTGGGGAGAAGGAGGAAGCTACTGGCGAGAAGACCGGCGGGAGTTCGGAGCATCCAGGCAGAATGCTCCGAGGGGCGGCAGGGCCTTGGCGTGCGGGTGCACTGGGCTCTGGCGGGCGGGCACCTGTGAGCCTTCCTTCCTCCCCTCTGCTGCCCGGCCCTTCCTCCTCCTCCTCCCATTCCCTCCCCTCACCGGGCTGTGGGAGCCCCACCCTCGGCGTTCCCACCTGCCGCCCTCTGCGACCAGCCTCGTGGCCCTCCCGCCCACCTGCTCCGCCCTCTGCGGGGTCACGGGTCCCACGGAGGCCTCAGGTCGAACACGGTCCCCCTTCTTCCCTGGCGATCATCTGCCTCCCTTTCTCCCGGCATGCAAAGTTCGGGAGCGGCTTCCACAGGGGAGCAAGAATCTGAATGGACTTCAAAACATGGACACAATGTGACACGCAGAGATGGGGAGAATAGGGACCTTGGGGCCTGGACTTACAAGCGTGTTGAAGGTGCCCCTGGGCTAGACGAGAGCAGTGGTTCACCTGCTCTTCGATGCCGCACAACCGTGGTGTCGTCCACGCACGCACGGTGTCGTCCGCGCACGCACGGTGCCGTCCGCACAAGCGCCGGGTCGTCCGCGCACGCACGGTGCCGTCCGCACAAGCGCCGGGTCGTCCGCACACGCACGGTGCCGTCCACACAAGCGCCGGGTCGTCCGCACACGCACGGTGCCGTCCGCACAAGCGCCGGGTCGTCCGCGCACGCACGGAGTCGTCCGCACAAGTCCCGGGTGGTCCGCATACGCACGGTGCCGTCCACACAAGCCCCGCGTCGTCCGCGCACGCACAGTGCCGTCCACACAAGCCCCGGGTGGTCCGCGCACGCATGGTGCAGTCTGCACAAGCCCCGGGTGGTCCGCGCACGCACGGTGCCGTCCGCACAAGCCCCACGTTGTCCGCGCAGCGCGCCGCTCGGAGCACCAGGGTGGAGTGGCGAGACAGACGGGGGGCTGCGCTCAGGGCGCACAGGCCGACGGAGAGACGGATGCCATTCAAGCCAACACACTGAAAAATAGATTTTGGTGAGTGTATTGAATGATCGCTCTAAATAGAAGATTGTGATGAAAGAGCTGGAGTGGGCAGAGGAGGATTATTTTAGGTTAGGCTTGGGGGACATCCCTGAGAAAGTCGCCTTAAGGTTCAGCAGGACACGGGCTGGCGGAGCGCGGAGAAGACGCGTCTGCACAGGCCCGCGAGGGCGCGAGGCCGGGAGGCCGCTGCAGGCAGGTGGAGCCGGGACGCACGGCAGGGGACGGCAGGGCGGGGAGCGGACAGCCCGACTCTGAGCGACGGGAAGCCACCCCAGGCATTAAGCTGGGAAGGAACACGATCTGATTTCATCATAAGGGAAATGGTAGGCCATAAAACTGAAAGCGTAGCTTGGGGACACATTGTGGAAAACCTTCAGTGGCAGTCCTGGGAGTTTTCACTTAATTCACAAGGCAGTGGAGAGTTCTCAAGGACTTCATTTTTTTAATAAACATTTAGTCCTAGATTTATTACACAATAAATACATATTGTTAAACAATCAAGTTACAAAGAAGCAAAAAGAAGAATATAAGCATAACTCATAACAAACCATTCAGATAGTGTCCATTTTAGTGTATTTTAGAGTTTTCTCTTTCAGACAGGTTTCGGTGCATATACTTAATTGCCTGCTTTAATATACTACCTTATATATGTAAGGGTATACACAAATATACATTTTATAAAAATAGGGTATTATGGCCTTACCGAATACAGAATTTTATACTAGATATAGATATATGTTAATTAATATATTTTGATTATACATATTTAATATTTATACCTATTTATATCTGAGACATTTTTCTATATCTATACCTAAAACTTTTTTCTTATGCTGCAAATATATTTTCAGTTTGTAATTTGCGTTTTATGATGTTATTTGACCATGCAGAAGTTATCCTTCCTTAATTATTCAAATGTGTGGATGCATTTCCTTTATGATTTCTTCATTCTTTCCGTGTAAGCCCTGAACCCGCCTCCATGGCGCGAGCCCACGGCGCTGTGCTTGTCCCACGCGCTCCGACACGGCTGGGAAGGGCGCGCTGCCGCCGCGCTCCCGCCCGCTTCTGCGCCGTAGCGCGGCGCTGTCGGCTTCCCTGCCTCCCTCTCAGCCTCCGACAGGTTTCTACACAGCGCAGTCCAGGGTCCATTTCAGTGTCCCATATGGAAAGTCGTCCTTTTTCACTCTTCTTTTTCAGAATGGTATTGCAAGCCTTGTGTAGCTGCCTGCAGGCCTGGGCCACGCATGGCAACGCCGAGCGCACCACCAGCAGCGGCCGGGAAGGGCGAAGGGGTCACGGGGGGCAGGGGGTGCAGATCGTTCTCATTCTGAGCTAAAATCGCCAACTGAAGACGGGAAGAGATATCTTACTGACGTCCAATTAGGGCGAGCTCCGAGGGATGCGCTTCCGTCCTGGCGCGCCGGGCACTGCGCGCGGAGGAGCAGTCCGCCCGAGGCCGGGCGCTGCCCTGTGCTGTTCGTCTAGGACAGCAAGACGGACCTACAGCAAAAATGCAAGAGGAGGGAACTCTTTCCCAGAAATCTGACATAGGAATGTCAGATCAACCTTACAGAACACTAGGAGGTGGTCAGAGGTTTAGAGCAACCAAGTGGAAGGCCAGCCGCAGAAGGGCCTGGAGGGCAGCTCCCGCGCCCAGTGTGGACACCGCGCGCAGGGGAAGCAGGCCAGGCCCTGAGCGGAAGGAACTGTGTCTGTCAGTTTTGGCCTGACTGGATTTCCCTGGCACGGGCACTCGGGGCTTCCTGCTGTTTTGTCTAACTCAGAGTGCTCGGGCAGAGTGGCTAGGACATCATTCCCCCAAACAGCGAATGAGCAAGCTGCTGCTGCCAGGAGCAGAGAGTAACACTCAGAGCAGACAGTAGGCCCTGAAAGCCTGGGAGGAAGAACCAGCCTGTGGCTTGGGGGAGGGGTGGAGTTAAGGGCTTTGAAAAGCGCTTTCTAAAGCAGCCTGGCAGGTCCTCAGCACACGACACACACAACCACTGCCTTGCCGGGCAGTTCTACTCCTGGCTACCTGCCCCGAGGAACTGAAAACATATTCAAACAAAAACTGTACGCCCATGTTTATAGCAGTGTTATTAACAATAGCCAAAAGGTGGAACAGCCTAGATGTCCACCACCTAGTTAGTGAAAGGCTAAACAAAATGTGGTATATCCAGATAATGGAATATTATTTAGCTATGAAAAGTAGTGAAGTACTGATATATGCTTACAGTGTGGATAAAACTTGAAAACATTATGCTAGGCAAAGGAGTCAGAACAACGTATTGCATATATTTATACATATATTTGTATATGTATGTGTGTACGTATGTTGTGTGTATATATGTGTATTGTATGTATATATATATATATACACATATATTTATATATTTATTGTATGTATTTATACGAAATGTCCAGAATAACCGAATCCACACAGACAGAAAGCAGATGAGGGGTTGCCCAGGGATGGAGGGAGGGTCCCTGGGGAGGTACTGCTTAATGTGCATGGGGTTTCCTTGAGGAATAATGAAAAAGCTCTGGAACCAGATAGTGGTGATGGTTGTATATATTGTTAATATGCCAGCCATTCAATTGTACACTTCAAAATGGTTAAATGGTAAAATTTTGTCTTACGTATATTGCACCACAATTTTTAAAACATTATAATATAGATTCCTTGAAAAAATCACATTTAATGATCAGAATAAAATTCATATGGAATATATATTCCATTTCATATGAAATATATATATTTTTATATATTCCATGTGAACACATTTCAATAAATTTCTAGAAGATACAGAGTTGTTGTTTTTTTTTTTCAGACAGGGTTTCACTGTGTAGCCTGTAGCCCCAGCTAGAATGCAGTGGTGTCATCATAGCTCACTGCAATCTCCAGCTCCTGGGCTCAAGCAATCCTCCTGCCTCAGCCTCCCCAGTAGCTGGGACTACAGGTGCGTACCACCATGCCTGGCTAATTTTTCTATATTTTATAGAGACGGGGTCTTGCTCTTGCTCAGGCTGGTCTCGAACTCCTGAGCTCAAGTGATCCTTCAACCTCCCAGAGTGGTAGGATTACAGGTGTCAGCCACCGGGCCAAGCCAGAATAATTTATTTTTAATAATTGTCCAATGGAGAGGCCTTTTAAAATTATGTCACATAACCCAAGAGCTATAAAAGAAAAAAATTAATAACTTTGTAGCAATTTAATTATGAAAAGTTCTGCATGAAAAAGAACCATTCTAAGCAAGTATTTCTCTAATAAATACCCATGTTCTTACAAATCAACAAGCAATGGGTCAAAAAACAGAGTAGGAAAATATGAAGGAAAAAGAAAGAATATATAAATGGCCCTTAAACATTTGGACAGAAGTCTTGGCCTGTCTTAAAATAAATGTCAAATAAAATTATATTAAAGTATTTTTTACCTCTTTAATTGATAGCAATAAAAAATTGAATATTATGGTATATCAGTGAGAGCCTCTGCACTGTGCACACCCGCAGCCCCAGCCTCTTCCAAACGCTGCACACGGCTCTGCAGTTCTCGGCCTTTGCCTCCTATTATGTTGCCGAAAAATAAAAGGAGAGGTCTGCAAGGGCGCAGGCTGCCCCTGCACAGGATGCACAGGATGCACGGGCAGGTACTGCAGAGCAGCCTGGGCGGGAGGTCGTGTCATAAGAGGCTCACACACTCAAAATAACGAGCTGGATATCGGTGGGGGAGAGTCCCTTCCTGCTTATGTCCCATCCCACGGTGCTCGTCCTTTGCTGCCTGTCACCAACAGGTCCAAATCAACACACAAACAAATGGTGAAGAATGTAGGTTTCTAAGCCAGTTTGCTGCATAAGAACACAAGCGTGTTGCAGTTATAAGGATGTTTCATTTATTCCCAACATTTTCATTTCACTGTCCTTCCTTGCATACTCCGATGCACCTGACCTCACTTTGGGCTCTAAGAAATTGTTCTTATACAGAAGCCTAAGCATTCTGGAAGTGGAAGAGGGCATCTGGGGAATAGACCAGGAAAAGGAACATTAGAGAAGACTTCTTCCAAGGGCAGGACCCCTGGAGGCCTGTGAAATGGAGCCCCTGCCACAGAAAAGCCCCCCAGGATGGACGCTTCATGCAGTGGGCAGCGCCGGCCCAGACAGGCCCCCTAGAGGACGGGGCCACACAGCCCGGGTCCAGCTGCAGGAGGCTGGCAGTGGCGGCCCTCGTGGGCCACCGGAGGGCTCACCGAGGTCACTGAGGTGACAAGTTCGAAACATACTAAGCATTCCGTGAGATTTCAGCTGCTGTCATTGTCGCCAGCCTGGTAAGGCACACGCAGGATGCCTGGGCCCCTTCCTTGGTCCCATGTGTGCTTCTCCTGAGGTCAGAAGTCAGAGTCAGAAGCTCACAGGCAGGACAGGCTCAAATAATGCCAGTGTGGCAACCAAAGCAAATGTCACGGCCACTTCCCCTTCCACAGTGTTCCCCAGTGAACATGGGCTGAGGGCAGCCCTCAGGAATTCTTGTCTGTATGCGACCTCCTAGGTGCGTGTCATCGGCTTCTGGGTGTGTCATTATGACTCAGCAGAGGCTTTCTGTGACTCATTCTATGTGCTGGAAACAGGATGTCAGCCCCTGGGGAACACACGTATACCTGCTTCCACGTGTGGCATCCAACCCGTTGCCGTGTGGCCTCGGGCAGCACACCTTGTCTTCCGGTGCCGAGTGTCCGGTGGTAGAAAGCAGCACCATAGCCAGGAACAGATGCAGCCAGGGGTATGGCCATCCCAAAGAAGTGACTCACACACACCACGCTCTGCCCTTTGCTCCCTCCGTGTCGACAGCAATGGTTTGAGAACTTCTCAATTGGCCACAAGTTTCTATAACCTCCCATCTGCCAATTCTAATAGAGAAAAATGCTTGAGGTTTTACAGAGCAGTTATGTTCACATAAAAACAACATCAAATTCTGCATTGTAATATGTGAAATAAATCCTGCCCAATTTTTATCACTAATGATAATTGAAGGAAACACCATTTGAAAGAAGGCTGTTCCGTACCTATAATTGCAAACAGTCTAGTCATCATCAAAAGGACCAAGTACAGATAATCTCTAAGGAAGACTAAGTAAGCAGCAGCATTTTTTTCTGGTTGACTTCTTCATTCATCACCTGTTGTCGAACACAGTCTGGATTCTAGACTCCGTGCACTGCTGCTTCCCAGCCCTGCAGGCTCATCAGCTGATGCTTTGCCGAGCGGTGGTCAGCACGGCCAAGTGGCAAGCACTTGTTTATGCATTTGGGACGCGGTAGTGAGCACAACAGGTTGCGAGTGCTCGAGCCCGGAGTGAGCTGGTGAAAGAGATGGAGAAGTGCTACAACAGTAAGGCCCACAATCCTGGCAAGTGGGATTCTGTCGGAGCCCATGGGAGCAGCCCCCCACTGCAGAGCCCAGTGTTCTTGGAACTAGTGATAGGTCAGCCCTGCGAAAGTCAGGAGGGCAAAAAGTGGGGAGAGTATCTCAAGCAGAGAAAGCAGCAGAAGGAAACCCTAAGTGAATGGGAGGCTGGTGTGTCTGTGGAGACACACGGGCTTTGAGGGCTCGGCGGCAAGGGAGAGGAGCAGGAGCAGGACAGCAGCTTTAGCTCAGAATGCTGGGCTTCGTGTGCACGGCGCTGGAGAGCCACTTCCCTGGAGGAAGACCACAGAGTGTGGTGCCAAGGAAACCCAGGGAGGAGGAGCCGTAAAGGCATCAGCACTGCCCACGGCAGCCATGGGAGGCCAAGCAGGAGAAGGAGGCAGACGGTGACAGTAAGTGACTCTCACGGCTGTCATGAACCTCAAAGGCTCTGTGACTTGACACAGCAAAAGCTTGTTTCCCACTCACACAAAGTCCGCTGCAGGTGCTCCTGGTGAGTGGCAGTCTTCCATCCTGTGGCCCTGCCTCTGCCAGCCCTCCCCACCCAGCAGAAAGGCTCGGGAGGCAGAGGAGTTTATGGGCTAGCCCTGAAAGTGGCACAACCCTTCTGCCCACATCCAGATAGCCAGAACTCATCACACGTGTGCCTGTGGTGAGAGGGGAAACATCTCTGATTAGCCTTTATCCATCTCTGCCACCAGGAAGACGATCCTTTAGATTTAGCAACGAAAGGGGATTATCAGCCATAACAGTTAGCTATTGCTGCCTAACAAACCACCCCAACCGTTTGTGGCCTGAAAAGCCATGATTCGTTGTTCTTCAAGTGTCTGTGCACTGGCCCGGGTCCTGTGCCAATCCGAGCATCTCTGAAGCACCCACCCGAGGGAGGACCTAAGCGCTTAGAAAGAACTGACACCCATGACCCTGACATCCCTCCCTTCTCCCCACAGACCTCTGTGCTAGCAAGGGTGGGCCTTTGGGCTTCTTTCCTCTTAACTCCCTCGTGTTCCTTGGAGCAGGAACGCGGTGGTGGCAACTCTTTATGCTTGTGGGAGAGACACGGGCTCTGAATCCTCCATGCCCGGCACGCTGAGGAATAGCGAAGGTGTGTGCGCCCTCTCGCTCTCTCACTGTCTGTCTCTCTCTCTCTGCAAAGCTTTGCTTTCCAACTTATTAGGTTGCCCAAAAATTTGGATTTGAATTTCAAAAACGAGAAATCTTTGTTGTTGAGTAAGTTTCTTCTCTTTTCCTGGAGGACCCAGAGGGAGGAGTACATGACAATATGTCTAAAAATAGTATCCCTGCTGCAAACTTCTGTTGCTAGCAGTAGTATAGTGCTAATATTTGATAATAATAACTGATAATAGTAAATATGTTTAAGCGGCAAAGCCTCCTAGGAGGGGAGGCGGAGGGGATGGAAAGATTATTATTTGAATTACTATCCCTCCAGGGAAGTCTTTCCTTGTTATTTTTGCTGTAAATTACTCCCCAACTTCTCAAAGCAGAAATATGTCCCTGGCATTCATTCATTTATGCATTCATTCGGCACATATTTACTGACTGCCACTGAGCCGGGAGCAGGCTGTGTGGGGGCAGGTAAGGTGGACATGGTATGTGTCGCCTGTACAGGCAGCAGGCAGAGACAGTAGCACAGACAACATGCTCAGCATGCCCTAACCTCTGCCACAGCACACGCGGTCACTGAGCGCGTCCCGCGTGGCCATACGAGTGGAGGCGCACGCAGCATTAGCGCCCCGCAGGCCACCTTCTGTCAGCCAGAGCCCTCTCCCGACCTCTCGTCGGCAGCTACGGGAGGCCCTGCCCGAACAACTCCATGCCTGCAGAGGTCCAGAAGCACCTGCCTACCCCTCTGAGAGAGAAGAGTCCTTAAACTAAGAGATAGAGGGCTTACTCCTATGTTTACCCTAAAAATAATCTGTCATTAAATAATCTGAAAATTAAACAGCCGAAACTGTGCAGACAGGAACTTGCCACGGGGCTGGAAATGTCCCTGGCCCTTCTTCCCTCCAACACCTCCACAAAGACAAGATTAGGGCAGGGACAAAACGTTGTCCAGTCTGTAGGTGGGAGCTCAGTCACACATTGCAGAATTTCAACCCGTACCACATACCTGAGCCTTAGAAAGAGAGACTCCCTCGAAGCTGCCTGTCTCCATGGGTCCACTCCTCAGCAGAGAGAAAAGCAAGTTGTTACTCTTCCATTCATCAGAGGGTTGAGTACTAGCCAACTTCCAAGTGAGAAAGCTGCAAAGGTGATCATTTTTAAAAGTCTTCCTTGGCCCAAATATTTAAGCAAAATATTATTGTAAGAACACATTTTAGGGAAATGAAATTTCAAGAAGCAATCAAATAAAAACATTCTCTAGAATATGTCTAGGTTTTATTTTGTCTTGTTTTAGCCTCGGTTTTTAATTTTTGCACGTGGAGGGCAGAGCAAGCTTTGACCTCAGCCATCCCGAGAGGGAAGAGCTGGAAGGCGGCAGCAGGCGCGGCCAGCGGGCGAGTCTGCAGAGGCGATTGCAGGGCTAGAGGCAGCAGAAAGCGAGGCTCTGAAAATGAAAATAAATGTTTTGAATTAACAGAGGATCACAGTGTTCTTAATGACAAAAGAGAAAGATAATTCTAAAGCACTGTTCGGATAAATGTTGCTTTAGGAAGAGCTAAGAGGAGGCCAGCGCGGCCGTGCGGCCGCCCTTAGCTAACGCCTGCGCTCCGGTCTCTGAGGAAGCTGCCAGGCACGCAGGGAACGCCCGCATGCTGATCGTTCGCATTTATTTCTCTCAGAAAGAGCAAAGCACTTGACCCAAATGACATTAATTTTCATAAAAGCCCTGGGAGGAGCCGCAGGCGCAGGCGTGGCATCACCGGTCGCCTGCGCTGAGCTCCGTGGCGGCGACCCTGCGCAGCTGGCCGTTCTGCTTGCTGGGCGCACGCGGGCCACGCGCTGGGGAGGGCCTGCCCAGTCTTGTGCAAAGTGAACTGTATCTGGCTTGGTTTTTGTTTTGTGGTGTTTTGTTTTGTTTTAATAAAGTTGAACAAATGGAGTCACTTAAAATGTGAATCTATTATCTCGGGCGGAAGTGTAGCCAAAATGGACGATATGCAAGATGATTCCTTAAGGACAAAACTGCCAAAATCAATTTCCACTGTATGTCTTTTAGTCTGAAGAGTATAATTGTGTTGCACAGTGGCTGGGGGGGGAGGTGTGGGAGGGCTGGTTTTTAATCTAGTTTGAAAAACTGATGTAGTTTAAATGGGTCTGACTGTAATTAAATTTATGAACACAGAGAAAAATATGAAGTTTTATTAACTGTGGAAGGAATGTGGGTCTTTAGCTGCCCAGCCAGTTCACGAAGACAAAGGAGATCAGTTTACGGGGGTTAAATAAACATAATATTTTATGTTATAGTTCAAATGAATCCACTTGCAACAAGACTGAGAGTCAAAACTTAGTTTACGAGATTGACCCTCTCCAGGGACAGAGATGAGCACTGTTCTAGGCTGCAGCCACCAGGCAGCAAGCGCCACTCGGGGACACCCCCAGCCCTGTGGTGCCACCTCCCACCTGTGCTAAGGGTGCCCGTGGTCCTCGTCGAGGATTTTTCACATCATTGCATCTGACATATTCTGCAATCCTGAACATGTTGGGTTGGGTTTTTGGTAACCTGTCTATCAGAAGCATGGAGCATGAAGAATGTTCAGGTGAAAAAGAAAACTCACAGGAAGTCAATGCTGGGAACAGCGTGTGGGAAGGGACACAGTCACACACTGCACAGGGAGAGGGCGTAGGATTGTGTTGGTCCACGACACCACTTTCCACGGACTGTCAATACTTCTCAGAGATCTGAGCAAATGCACTGGGGGCCAATGTTCCAGGCATTCTGTGTCGGAAACAGGAGGACAGGCCGCCTTTCCTGTGGCCCGGCTGCTCTGAGCCCCCAGGAGCTAGACCAGCACAGAGTAAGCTTCCCTCTTCAAGTATCATTTGGCTGATCAGGAGCTTGTTATAATAATTGGTGCCAATTATTGGTTTGCCAGCAACTCCCACAGATTAATATTTCAGGAGTTAGAAACCCAGCTGAGCATGAAAACAGCATCGACTTGGAGTTGGGAATCACATTTCAAAACTGCAATGGAAAAAAAAAAAAAAGCAAGAGAGATTGTTTCTTGAGTGAAGAGGAAGAGATTCATTCATCTCGCCAATACTCAGGACTCCGGGAGCCGGAAGCAGCCTCCCAAGCACAACAGCACGGCCGACCGGCTCAGACCGGGCTATGCTGGCTCTGCCAGGGAAGGAACCCTCCTGTGCTTCCAGTGCCGCTTAGCTTTTCTGTAGCAACGTGGGGCATGCGTAAACTCCCTTTGGTCAAAAAGTGCTTTTCAAGAATGTGTTTCTGAAACTAATAAAATGACTTGAAACTCTACAATGCATTCCTTACTAGATGAGAAAGGACTTCATTCACCATGAAAGCCACCATACACTTGTCTCCGAGCAGACAGGAGTGTTTTCTTTGCCCTGCTAGTGTTGCTCGAGAAGGCCCAGGAAACTGAAAGGGACCCGAGAGGCTGGGGCTGCAGGGCAGCGGGGCCTGTGCCGAGGTCGCCGTCTAGAGCAAACAGCCAGGGCCCCTCTCCTGGTCCTCCTGCCCCAGGCGCCACCGCCCAGTTCCCACCAGGGCCCAGACCTCCCGGGGCCCCTCCACGACCCCCGCCAACCCCCACCCGACCCCCGGAACCCACCTCTCCCACCGGCCCACCCAGACCCCTCCCAGACCCAGTTCCCCTGGACTCCCAGACCCCCATCCTCCTACACCCACCCCAGCTGCCCCCTCCCGCAGACCTCCCCCAGCACCGGCTCCCTGGGCCCCCATGTCCTGGCCACCCCTCCTCTTCAGGCGCCCCCAGCCCCTCCCTCGCAGGCTCCTGCCCCTCCCTGGAGCGGTCCCTGACTGCCTATCATCTTGCTCTAATTGTTTCCAGATTCGTGTGGGAGGTCAGGGCCCGGGAGTGCTGCTTCATGCCAAGTTTATAAACAGAGCAGTGTTTCCAGATGGCCGCTGGCTCCAGCCTGGCGAGCAGGTTGATTGGGACCAGAATAACAACAGGTGGAGAGCAGACAATGAGTTCCTTGACACTTATTTACTCCCTGGACTCTTTCTTCCCTTAGCAGCCCTGCCTCCATCTGCCTAGCCACCACGGATTTCCACAGGCTCAAATGAGCCGGGGGCTGCAGAGGAATGCAAAAGAAAACACTCCGTTTCCCTAATGAGGCTGGGAGTGGGAGCAGGGAGACCCGGGAGCCCTGGACGTAGTGCCCCAGGCAAGCGTGGAGAGGCTGGGGCCTTGAGGACAGGCCCGGGCGGGAGGCACTGTGTTCATCTGTCAGCAAGACCCGGGTGGCACCAAGGGCGCAAGAACACGGGGCCCGGCTCAGACCCCTGGCTGCCCCCGCCTGTCAGCAGACAGGAATGGGAGAGTGTGGGGACATTCTCACGTGGCTCATGTTCTGGGAAGTGCCTCAGGATTCTCTGAGACGGGACGGACGACACGCAGGCCTGAACCCTGCCCAGACGGTGGAGGGCTGTAAGCGGAGGCAGGAGCGCGGGCGGGTGCCTCCAGCTAAACAAGGCGTTGCACAGTGAGGCCTGCAGTGACAGCACAGGAGGGATGAGTGACGGGTCACTCTGTCCGCGGAGCCGGCCCAAGCGCCCCGCTGACCCGGGAGAGCCGGCAGGTTTGTGTGAGACCTCGAGCCGGCTTGGGCCCGCCGGGCGGCGCAGGCTGCAAGGGGCGGCGAGGGCCGGCAGCCTGGCTGGCTCTGCGGTGGGAAGGATGAGGATCGCAGGATCCTTTAAGACCCTGACCTACTACAAAAGGACTGGCAGAAGAAAGCGCCTGTGAAAATAAAGCATATAAATATCAAAAGTACATTTTTAAGGGTCTCTGAGTTAAGGCTAGATTATCTCTGGGAGTCCTTTGAATCTAAGTATCTGCTTATAAAATGTAACCCGACACTCTGGCTTTGAAGACTGGGATCCGGACGGGGCAGTGCAATTTATCTGAGCTGACAGAGCCTCAGAGCCTGGGGCTCAGCTCCCCATCCCTCCATCCCCTCCCTGACGGAACTGCAACCCCAACCTCACTGCACTTGCAAACATCGCTCACTCTCCTGTGCGTGTTCTGTAACAAATGCAGGGCATCAGAAGAGCCCAGCTACAACGCAGGATTTGAACATTTTGCTTAGTTGATCTTTATATAGAAAGAATATAAATTCCTATTTCGTTAATTTTCTTCCCTAAGTTTTCTGCACAGCAATCACTTATTGGGGTTTTTATCTGAAAAGCTCCTAGTATTATATAAGGAATTCTTAAGAAAAATAAAGCATGCCTTACACTAAAGAGCAACAAAATGAGTTTGAGTTCCAGGGAGCAATTTCATGACCGGGGCATGTATGGGCCCCAGGGGGGCGGAGCCGGCTGGGGATGGGCCAGCGTGGTGCCAGTGCTCACATTCCAGCCCCTCAGAGTCCCTGTGTGAAGTCGCAGCCCTTACAGGATGTTTACCTTTAGAGAAAAAGTATCTCTGGAAGATGCTGGAAATTTCCTGGAAAGATATCACTGCTGATGACAAGTGCCCTAAGCAAACATCAGGTCCCACCATACACAGAAATTTCAGAAAGAACTGTATTTGTCACAGCCAATAAATCACTCATGCACTTGGGGAAAAGTTCTCAACAAAAAATGCAGTGCCAACAGCAGAAGGAATGCCACCCGCCATCACCCCGGGCCCTTGCAAGCCTCGTGACATGACCCTGTGGCTGGAGGTGCCCTGGCAGAATTCTCCACCGTGACCACCCCATCACACAGGGGACATTCTTCCACTGGTGCTCCACAACTGGCCACGAAATTTTGTTCCTGACCACAAAGCACTGAGATACACCATTGTGGCATCCACTCAATCTACCAGAATAGGGACACACGATTTGTTCCTATAAATTGCAAATATCAGGTCAAACCAAAAACTAATCTTATAGCTTAAATACTCAAAGCTCCTGTCTTCACAGTTGGTGGAGGGTGGAATTCATTTTGGCTGTCTCCATCTGCACAGTTACAAATATGCAGCAAAAAAGGGGAGACCTAATGATAACATTTAGGGAGCCAAAACATTATCAATGACACAACATTTCCTTATTGCATTGAAAAATGAAAACAGGTTTTATTTTAGGATTAGAAGTGTTGAACCACATGGGAGTGCTGGCTTTACCATGTGCCAATTTTTTAATTCCACTTGAAGGCCAACATGCAAAACCTAAGACACAAAAAAAGAAACATTTTCATCAAAGAATTTTATTTTCTAAATTGGACTTTATTGCACCTTTGCAAGTGTAGACCAAAGCATTTTGGCAAACACATGTATTTGTTACTTTTATATCCTGGCAGTGTACTTAGGCCGATTAATGAGGCAATAACAGGCGCCACGGTGTGAGGGCTTCAGGTCCCGGTGTTTGCGCAGCACTGTCGCTGGAAGGAAAGCGGCTGGGAAGCCAGCA